CTCCTGGCCAAACGCAATCAAACTCACTACCTCTGATGCTACTGTGTGGAGCAGAAGAACCCAGCTGAGCCCTGTCAGCTTGCAGAGTTATGAGAAACAAATTGTTCAAAGCTGTTAAACTCAGGGATGGTTTGCTTTCTAACAATAGAAAGAAAAGGAAATGAAAAGGAGCTGTGCTATATATGAATTCATGGGGGAAAAAAAGGCTCAAATCAGGTTAGATTAACTTTGTGATTTTTGAGTAAGCTATTACAAAGAGAAATGTCACTCCTACTCCATAATGTAGGCTTCATTCTCCCAAACCCACCAACTACATTGTTTAGTATGACTTCTGCTACCTCTTTAACAGCTGAGAATAATAGAAAAACATCTCCATTATCAGATAAACAGCTGTTTAAAAATTTAGTTGGGGTATGAGGCTGGAGATCTCAGTGGTTAGGAGTGCTTGTGGCTTTTCCATAGAACCAAGTTTGGTTCCCAGAACCCACACAAGACAACTCACAACTGCCAGTAACTCCAGTGCCGGATGGACTGGTCCCTCTTCTGATGCACACACACCACAATGATGATAAAATAACAAAATAGCAGGTGGGAGTTAAGGCCTAGAACTGTTTGTGTTAGAAAGACTTGGACATCTCCTTCCAGAATGAGTCTTAGGCTGTCTCTGTTGTTTACTACATTGTCATGAAGACTTGGCAGCCAGTCAAATCTGACACAGCTTTTGGTGTTGGGGTGGTCTCTTTGGGCAGAAGCTGAAGCAGGGTTTGTTTTTTGTTTTTTGTTGGAGACTGAAAGGCAGGGACCGGTCTGTACATTTCAGATGGAAGGGATTATTGGTCCAACCTTGATTTTTGTCCTCCTTCATTCCTCCCCATGGCAGAGGAAGTCCCTGGTGAGTAGCCTTTCTAATAGGGAGGGTGACTTGTTTATATGTATGTCAAGTGTCTGTTCCACTTTGCAAATGTGAGCACAACACAAAATGTTTGGAATTATCTAGTCCCCAGGGAGAAGGTGTGGGAGAGACAATTCCAGCTGTACAATTGTCAAGGACCCTTTGTTTGGTTTTTATATTTTGCAATCATATTTAACATCATTATTATTTTGCTTTTCTTGTCTCTTGGTTAGGAAGGAGTTTTTTTTCTTTTATCTAAATAAAAATGTAGTTTTCATCCTTAAGGGAAATGACTAAGTGTTTGGATAATTGGGGGAGAATAACTGGCCTTCACCAAAAAAAATAAATAAAAATAAAAATCCTGCCAATCATAATTGCTTCAGTTTTTCTGAGTTTTATCTGTGTGCTGTGAGCACTGACCATAAGCATGGCTCCATTCAATGATTCCAGCCGGTACCTTATGTGACCTGCAAGATGGGAGAAAACACTACCCCCAGGAATTCATTTGGACTCTGACAAAGTTGAGTTACTGTTCATTTTCAGGATGCAGAAATTATCCTCAAGATCTCTCTTTACTTTAGTTCAGTGAGTCTTAGCCTGGCTCTAGGAAAAGCTCACCTAAGAGTGGATATGGTCATGTACACATAGAGACTAAAGCAGGGAGAATGCAAGGTCAAGGCCAGACTGGGTGACACAGTGAGATCATGTTTCAGAAAGTGGGAGCAAAAACTCAGTTAAGAACCGTCCTGCTCCTCCTGACTTACTAACTTCATGACTGGGTTACTGCATATGGCAGCCATGGTTCACACACAGTCATCTGAAGTTAAACACAACTATATATTTGGTCCCTTAGTTGCATTTGCTATATGATCATGTGCGTTCTGTGGCCAGTGTATTAGACAGAGCATTCCTTTGTCAGGAAAACTCTTTGGAACTGTGTGGCTCTGTAGTATTGCAAGCGTCTAGGACATACCCCCTCTTAGTTTCCTGCTCACATGTTAGTGTGGCAACTGCTTACGTGGTGTCTTACTCTAGGGTGGAAGATCACGGTGGGCAGAGCCTATGTTGAGTGTGTTGCTTCTTCCACTAGTGTCCCCCATTATCCCGGTTTCCTGGCTACAGAGAAGATGGGCAGATGGGAGGACCACCTCCTCCTGAGTATTCAAGGATGAAGGGTGATCTCTTCTGTGAGGGCAGAGGTTCTCTGCTAACGTCCCACTCTACAGAGCTCAACCTGTGTTCTGAAGGCAGTCGCAAATGCATGCATTCCCCAAGCACACAACAAGGAGGGTCTACAGTTGATTGAAGATGATCTTTATCCACCACCCTGTGCTGTCCCTGAAGTTTTTGTAGCACCTCAGGGGCCAGGGAATTTGAGACAGGCATCTTGTGGGAACCCTGCCTACCCTGAGACCACCTCCATGGGCCAGGAAGGTGGGGGCTCTGAGACTCTGTAACCTGTCTGTCTGTGGACAGAGTGCTCCCCTTGTTGTCAGGCTGGTCTCTGGTGTGCCCTGAGTCTCTTTTGGCTCAAACCAAGCCATTTCCAACCTGAATTTATGACCTGTAGTTCAATGCCACGGTGACGCTTGTAGCTGTCCTCTGTGAGAGGCAGAGCAGACAAGGCAACCTCTGCTGGTTTAAAAAGAAACTCTGTCTCTCCCTTGGTGTGTTCACTTAAAAAGAAAACCACACTGTTTAAATTTCAAAGATGAGCAAAAACTTCCAGATGATTTAGGCGCTGTTAGCTAATTTGATCTTCACAATAACACAAGGCAGGGCAATGTTAATATCTTCATTATTGCAGATGAGGAAACATTGTCTCAGGGCCAGAAAACACAGGCAACTTCCCCAAGACTCAACAGTGTCTTTGTAGGTGCTGGAATCTATGCCCATGGTCTGCCTCCATGCCCCCAACTGCCAGGCCACACTGCTGCTCACACTACAGACCAACACAGTAAGCTGGAACACCCACCCTGCTGCGGAGATCTGGCTCCAAGTTGGGAACTAAGAGCCTCAGACTTGATCACCCCGCCCTCAAGAGCCTTCTGTTCTGAGGTGGCATCAAGACAGGGAGCTCTGGTCCACCTCTGCCTACTGTATTACCATGAAGACGTTGGAGGAAAAGACATCCAGGCATCTAAGCACACTGCTGGACTTCTTGACTGTTTGTAGAACGAATGTAGCCATTAGGGGTAGTTCTCGTGTGGACTTACCAGAACTGAGAGACCAAAGCACACTGTCCCTCCACATTGCTACATCCCTGCACCGAAAATCCTGCCCTAGTACAAGGTCATGGCAGGACTCCATAGCTGGGGTGTGCTCTGTGGAATAATGGGCACCCTGGGGTTCTTCAAATGTATGCGGTGGGCAGTTGTTTCCAGCATTTTCTTTTTTGTGGTTCTGTGAAAGTGTCATCCAGATAGAACTGTATTCACACCTTCTACCATAATTTCACACAGTGGGACTACAGTGCATCCCAGATATGCCTGTACTCACACCTTCTACCATCTATGTGCCTGGGGCAAATATATATACTGTCATCACCAACAGTGCCCATAACCACAAGTGTGCTCATGATCTTGCCAGGCATCATGTCTTCAAGTCCTACTGAGAGAACTTAACAGCAGCGGTTCTCAACCTATGGGTCATGACCCCTTTGGGGGTTGCATATCAGATATCCTGCATATCAGATATCCTGCATATCAGATATTTACATTACAACTCATAACAGTAGCAAAATTACAGGCACGGAGTAGCAATGAAATCATTTTATGACTGGGGGTCACCGTAACATGACAAACTGTGTTAAAGGGCTGCAACATTAGGAAGATTGAGAACCCCTGGGCTATAATGTCTGCTCAGGGCTCTGCTATGGGTCCTACCCAGTCCTAGCTGGCTGCTCGGTAGAAAGAAGTTCACAGGATGTACTGGAATAATTACAGCGGTTCATCGACAAAGGGGTCTCTAGTTGGATAAGTCTGGAAGATTCATTGTCAAATATGCTTCTTAGTCTTGCTAATAACGACTGTAGGGCACAGTCTCAAAATGTGCCAGCTCTAAGCAGTGGCAGGACTAGCTCAGCTGGGTGGTCCTCCTCATTTTCATCTCTGGTAGCTGCAGTTGGTTGACAGCTGGATCACACTCATCACAAGGCTTTTTCACTCCCACTTCCTGTGCCTGGCATATCTTCTTCCTGTGCTTTTCACACACGCTGACCAGAGTGGATTCTGCAAGAAGCTGCAAGAACCCAGCTGTATGACTTAGTGACGTCTCCAAGCATCAGTTTCACAGTTTTTAACTGGTCAGATAAATAACTGAGAGCAGTCAGTTCAGCTTTAGATTTGATTCTACAGCTCAATAGAAGTGGTGAATACTAGGACTTGGAGGGTCGCTGTGCATGAAGTTTTACTGAAGGTGTCTGAGAATTCTGATCCTGAAGAATTCTGTTTGACTCAGTGCTTCCCAAGCTGATTATTATCGGTGCCAGGTTTGAAATCAGGAAATAATTTTCTTACAGAAATTCACTAAGCTTTTATGTATTACCCTTGAGAGCAATAGGCAGGTGATAGATCTGGGGGGGGGATTCAATGCTATTATTTAATACATAAAACTTTCCACACAGAAGTTGGAGACTGAGTGCTGTTTTTAAGGAAGTCTAAATAGTGGTTGCAGTAGCCATCCCTACTGGTGGAAAGGAAGGCTATCTTGCAGGTTTAGGCTTTGATTTTATTTCCCACAGATTTAGGCTTGACCTGAGATCCCCACTCCTCACAGCTGCGAGACCTTGGTCCAGTCACACCTTTCCAGGTTGCGGTTTCCTTACCTACAGTCAGGGGTTCTGTTTCACAGGGTAGTTGTGAAGACTGACAAGATCCTGGATGTGGATCCCTTGGCACAGCCTGCTTATGGTCAGTAAATGGGCCTCATTATCCTTAGGATGTATACAGGAAATCTTCCTCAGATAGACTTGGTATCTGTTTGGTTCCTTCATCTCTAGGGTTTTATAACTAAGAACAAGCCAATACTGTAAGCCATGGGTTTCTCCTAGTTTTTCTTGCAAAAAATAACCTCTGTGTCTTTTTATCTTTTTTTTCTCCTAATGTAGTTTCTGATAAGTGACCGTGATCCTCAGTGCAACCTCCACTGCTCCAGGACTCAAGCCAAACCCATCTGCGCCTCTGACGGCAGGTCCTATGAGTCCATGTGTGAGTTCCAGAGAGCCAAGTGTCGAGACCCAGCTCTGGGCGTGGTCCATCGAGGTAGATGCAAAGGTGAGTGACCCACACTCAGCCAGCTGAGGTTGCTGGGACAGCAGTTCCTGCACGTCATATCCTCACTGGAGCGTGAATGCTTTTGCCTTGCTCTCCTGTCCCTCTATGCCTTCCATCCGTGTGAAGAAAGGGAGAGGGCAGTGCCTGCTTCAGACACGGCCACAGGAAGGAGCCAGGGGCTCTCTGGCCAGTGTCTTGTTTGCGGTGTTGTTTCAAAATGGAGACACAGCACATTACTGCTGGCTCTGGAATAGGGATTCCAAATTGTTGGTCCACGATGTGTTTTGTTTGATCTGCTTTAAAACATGAAAAATATTTGAGATAACATTTAAAATTGGGAGATTCAACCACCACAACAAATCTGGCTTTCTGTTCCTCTCTTCCAAAATCATCAGTCTGGTACTGCCAGGTTTGCACGAGCAAAGTGACACACAGCCAGAGCTGAGGAACCTTCTCCAGCCCCTAAAGCAGAGCTTGCTTTCTGGTTTGCTACAATCCCCAATCCTCCTTGTGGCTTCTGAGCACTGAGTGTGGTTTTTCTCAGACATAATCTGTGTTGCTTTCCTGAGTCTGTAGATATGTGAGCTTGTGACCCTCAATTGCCTAAAGCCATCACAGGAGATGCAGGAGGCTAGCAGGCTGTCCCAGACATTTGGGTTTCTCAAGAAAGCGCTAGTATTGTGTGTAGCCCTGGCTGGCCTGGCACTCGTTTACTATGTAGCCTAGGTTGACTACAGGCCTTCCCTCAGAGTCTTCCTAGGACTGGCATTAAAGGCATGCATCATCACACTCTTTTTTTGCGGTTCCTGGAATTATTACTTTTAGTAAAGCCTGGGAAGAGTAATGGAAAAAGAAGAACCTGGGCTAGTATGCTTCTCCTCTAACTTTTTCAAGTATAGCATTAAGAGGAAGGTGAGCTCAAGAGCCATCCATGGGCACAGGGACTGCCCTCTCTGTCCATCAGCCTGGTGGCATGCTCCCCTCCCCGGGATGGAGGGTGTTGCACAGTGTTCCTGCCATGGGGCAGCCATTTTGGGCACTGGCTTCTGTGTGGGATCCAAGGGAAACATACAATGTACTCCTCTCCCCGTTTAGATGCTGGCCAGAGCAAGTGTCGTCTGGAGAGGGCTCAGGCCTTGGAACAGGCCAAGAAGCCTCAGGAGGCTGTGTTTGTCCCAGAGTGTGGCGAGGATGGCTCCTTTACACAGGTGAGGCCTCAGATGGGTTTCTCGGGTCGCTTGCTGAGCTGAGGAGAAGGGCGAGGTCCAGAGAGCACTAGGGTCACTGGGCACCTTCCCTTTTTGGGAAAGGGCTGGGTGAGTGGCTCTTCACTCCCCTCTGTACCGCCTCTCCCCTTCTGGGCCCTCCATGACGCTCCTTGCCAACTGGCAGTGAGCCGTGACAAGTCGCATGGGAGTCTGAGCCAGGAAACTGGCATGGCTGTGTCCCCATCCTCCCTGCTGGCTGTCTTTTTCTGAGGGCCAGACCTGCGGTTTTTTTTTTTTTCTTCTGTCCAATATGGGCTGATTATTTTCTCTTTTCCCTGCCAGTTTCCACAGGCAACCCCAGTATTCCCTTCACTATTTATCGATACCCACAGGCACTCCTTGAACGAGCATCGCCCCTTCAAGCACGAGGTCTCCCTCGGCTCCCCGACGGTGTGTGTGGCCTTGCGCATGAACTGAGATCTTTAATACGCTTTCAGTAGTCCCACTTCTCCCGCTTGGTTTTCTGGCTAATTAATGCTTTTGTGAAAAAACAGGGGAGGGTATGTTACGTACTGGCAGCAATGGGGCAGTTAGGGGCTTCTTCAGAAAGCTTCTAGACTGCTCGCCAGGGCCCAGGAGATGAGAGGCTTCCGTGAGTGAGTCTGGACTTGTGGCAGAGGCATGAATGCTACAGTGACAAGAGTAGGGCGAGTTGCAGGACATGGTAAACTTAGCCAGGTTGGGGAGTGTCCCTGTGTGTGAGCATGTCCCCCCTCACCCCATGCTCCAGAACAGTCCTATCTAGTAAAACAGCATTTAGAGGGAATCTACACTTTCAGAGATGGAGGTGACAACCTCAGGGTTTTAAAAGCTGCTCTGTAAATGTGCATGAGGGGATGGTCAAAGGGACTTCAGATTTCATTTCCCGGTGAGGTCTAGGGCATTATTGATTTCAGACCAGTGCCCTCTTGGGTAGTAACATAGAGGATGGTGGTGGGGGATTGGACTTCGATGTAAATGTCTCTCAGTTGACTCAAGCTTGTAACCAGGCTGGAGAGCAGAGTGATAAAGTGACCTTGGCCATCAGCCTCAGGGGAGGTGCTTGTTTTGATTTCCTGTTTAAAGCTTTGTATAGCCATGGGAGGTGGTGTCATTATCCCTATTTACTGAAGATGCATGCATTGTCATGCCTTGGAGTGGAGAGCTGGGTTCAAGCCCAGAGCATTCCAAAGATCCCTAAGTTCCGCTGTTCTCTGAACTGGCAGACTCACAGGAGGCTCTGAGGTGTGCCCTGGGAAGATGCAGGCTAGGACTGTGGTTGGTGCACTCTGCCTGGTTGGGCTGACCGTCTGGGCTTGAGGCCACCCCACACAGGCAAGTCACCTAGCTTCCCAGGGTGCTTATCTGAAACAAACAAACAAACAAACAACCCAAAAAAGCCCAGAGACGATCATCTTCATGATTGTCATGTTATACATATGTGATATATTATTATGATGTCAGAAGCATTATATATTACTCTTATGTTATACATGACATATTACTATTATTAGTGGTTATTATTTCACTTCCCTTGTAAGGCTGTGATGAGGGTTAGACGGGCTAACCCATGTGAAACTCTTGGGATGTATGGGCTGAATGTAAGCGATTATCAGCGTCTTCGTTGTGATTCCCATCTCCACTGTGGGTCTCCAACCTAGATCTTCCCAAGGTCTTATGGGTGGTGCTACTTAAGAGTGGAGGGAGGGTACCCAAAGCCTTTGGGTAAAACTTCCCAAGCTTGGAGATTCACGAGTCCTTCCTTCTATCAATTTTTAAGATTACTATTTATTCTAGTCAAAAGAGTGTGGTGACCTTTGTCTGTATTTGAAAGTGCAGCTGAGCAGCCATACCCTCTGAGGGGAAATGAGGCCTTCCTGAAGTTCATTTTGGGCTGAGACCTGAGGGATAAAGGTGATGGGGAGGGGGCAGAGCCTGAGGCAGCTGTTTGCTTCCTTCTGCAGGCTCGTGTAGCCCTGAATGTGTTGCTTATGAGAATGGTTGACCTCTGCCCTCCTGATTCTGAAGTGTTTGCTGTCTCATGACAGACAGCCGCTGGCCAGCTTTTGTTCTGGTGAGGCCAGGCCCGACCAGGTGGTGTTTGCCGAAGGAAAGGAACTTCCAGATTAGTCCAGGCTGACTTGCTAAATGAGAGTGGCCTGGAGTGCAGACTGTCAGGTATCTCTTCCTCCTGTGACAGGTTAAGCACTGCCATGTGTCCACAGTTTAGGCTGACTCAGCTTGGTGGGCAACTAGACAGCCAGTCAGTAGATCATCCCGGCTCAAATGATTAAATGGAAGCATGCCCACTCCCCACCCCCATCAAAGGCGCTGCAATAACTTCACAAAACTGCCACTGGAGTGTGATTCCGTCACTCTGACCAGTGGCCAGAGTACTGTGAGATCAAATGCCTGCCTCCTTCCCCCAGGGCCCGTCATCATTCAGCCAGCTCTTTTCATCCCCCTGAGGCCAGAGCTCTAGTATTCCTCAGAATATTGGCATGTGTGCATCCTGGAGTTAGTAGCATTACTTAGCCCTGGGAATTGCTACAGATGTCATTCTCCTGAAGAACAAGGAGAGAATGAAGGGGACTCTGCTGGGATTGGCTTTATCTGGCATGAGGCACAGCTGGAGGCCTCATGACTGAATGAGCTTTAATGAGGCTCATGTGGGGACTTTGCTGGCTTCTTCCTTTTTCCTTTGTTTCCCCCTGTCCTCTTTCCTCCCTACACCCAACCTCAACTCACACAGGGATGGCTTACCCTTGTTTACAGCAGAGGTATTGCTTGTACATCACTGAGGTCTCAGTACTTAGGGCGGCCCCAGGCCACTAAATCTGAGGTTTGCATCCAGATGCAGGTATTTTGAGTGTATATCACTGAGGTCTCAGTACTTAGGGCGGCCCCAGGCCACTAAATCTGAGGTTTGCATCCAGACGCAGGTATTTTGTGTGTGGGCAGGTATACATGCATGTATGGTTGTACATGTGCTTTTTGTGCATGTGCATGTGCAAGCACATGTGTGTATGGTTGCTCATGTACATATGTGCATGTGTATGCAGGCCACTGGAAATCTCGGGTATTGTTCTTTTTGGAAATAACCACCTTGGGTTTTGAGGCTGAGTCTCTCACTGGCCTGGAACTCACCAATGAGCGTAGGCTGGCCTGTAAGCCCATGGATCTGCCTGTCTCTTTGCCCCTACGGCACTGGAGTCACAAGGGCATGTCACTGTGTCTAGTCTTTTTTTTTTGTTGTTTTTTTTTCGAGACAGGGTTTCTCTGTGGCTTTGGAGGCTGTCCTGGAACTCGCTTGGTAGTCCAGGCTGGTCTCGAACTCACAGAGATCCGCCTGCCTTTGCCTCCCGAGTGCTGGGATTAAAGGTGTGCACCACCAACGCCCGGCTGTGTCTAGTCTTTTTATGTGAGTTCTGCGGTCACTTAGGACCTTGTATGTGCAAGGTGGAAGCACTTTATTGAGCCCTTTCAGAACAGGTATATTTTTAGTCTTCTCATCCCCAGGGGTGATGTCAGTATTTGTTCAAAAATTCAAACCTATTTTGGAAGGGCTTTGTCTCTCTAGTTTCTTGAATGCATCATTGAGATGCTGTGGTTCAGGTCTTTGGGGACCTGAAGGGAAGTCAGTTGACCTGGGCTTTGTCCTTCATGGTGGTGGTGTCTATTTCTTCTCTGGATACCAGGGATGTAATTCCTAATATCTGTTCTACTAAGGTCTCTGCCAAGTGTTTGTCCTCTGCCCAAGCTGTTTAGCTGAAATTTCAGCTGTGGTGACTGGGAGTTGAATGGCCACCATCAGAAAGGGCTGGCGGGAGTTTGTCAAGCATCATTCATCACTGAATGACAATGATGGCCACTGTTTAGTGTGCTGGTGCCAGCCAGAGTTTTGTTCCCACTGATCTTCACTGTAACCTTTTCTACGTAGTTATTAATGCCTTTGTATAAAGAAAAGCTGAGTTTCAGAGGGGTGAGTAGCAGTTTGAGGTCACTGAGTTAGAAGGGGTTTTTACTCAAGCTGATTAACTTCGGGGCTCGTGATGTTTTTGTGTAGAAGTAGCCTTGATGCATATGCATTTCATTTTCACCAGCATTGTTATCCCAGAAGTTCCCTCTCTTGTTGCCCAATCAATCAAACACACATTTAAAACAACCCTTTGATTATGGAAATTTTAAAAAAGTACAAAAGAGTAGGCATAATAGTATAATGAGCTCCATGTACCCATCACCTCATTCAACAATGATTGACACGTGGCCAATTCTGTTTCATCTTTGCCCCATTTTTTGTCTCCCATCCCAAACTAAGTTTCTTCAAAGCAGAGCTCCAGACACAATATCTTTTTATCCCAGGCAGGCAGGAGTTTTGAGCGCTACTGTGTTTTGGACTATGTGCTGGTTGCTATGAGGGATTAAAAAATGTGACCCCTGCCTTATGTAGAAAAGATAGCAAGACACTGGACAAAGTAGCTGTTTAAAGATTGTGTGTGTGTAGCTGGAAATGCATGTTTCAAAGCCCACTTATGAGTCTATTGACTAGAACGCAGGATGCACTTTGTTAACGAGAAAACTAACACAAATGTAAAGTTTTATTATAAACACCGCAAGCTGAAAGCAAATGATACACGTTAACCTTAATGACAAAGAAGCTGATCTTGTATAGGTATCTCTTACAATTTGGAAGCGAATAAAAAGCTAGTAAAATGTGGTCAAGAGCTACCAACAAGGAGGGCAAAAGAGATGAGACTGGGGATATAGCATAGTTACAGGGCATTTCCTCCATGAACCAGGCCCTGGGTTCAGTCCCTGATACCATCAAAGAAAAAGAGGATGGAAGTGACCAGTAAATGAATATGAATGATGTAATCTTCTCTACTCATTAAATTGTAAAATTTAAGTTAATATTATGTATTAAATTATGTAAATTTAGATGGTGATGGGGAAGTGGCTCA